AAAAAGTAGAATTGGTAGCGTGAGTGGAAAGGTGGGGAAGTGAAAAAAAAAAAAAAAAAGGACAACGGTGAGGAAAGGGAATGATCTCTACTGCTTGAGAGAAGAAACACGTTGAAGAGAGAGAGAGAGAGATAGATGTGCAAAGATATTGGATGTGAGAAGGAATAAAAAAAAAAGAGAAAAAAAAGCACACTATACGCATGTCACAACATATTCAGGACTTGCAATATACACATACTGAAAGCGTGAAGCTGAGTTCATGCATATCTGATCAAGAGAATATGAAAAAAGGAAGGAATCAAGAAATCCGTTGCAATATTTAAACTCATTGTCTCCTTTCTATTATTACTCTTTTTCTCTCATTTATTTTTTGTTTTTGTTTTTTCTCTTTTGTTGTTATTCTTCCTTCTTGTTTTTATGGTTCTTCTTCATTGCGTCATGTTCTTAAATCTTTCTTTATTCCTGTTCTTTCTGTTGTTGTTTTTTTTTTTCTTGTTTTTGTTTTGTTTTCCTCGGTAGCTGCTCCTGTATATACACAAATACTCATCTCTCTCTACGTACACACAAACACATATTTATATATATATTTATTTATATATATACATATCATGTCTGGGGTATTCCGAACCCTCTGGTTATTCTTTCTTGGTTTCCTCCGCACGATCGCGGAGATATTATTATTTCTCCCACGATATGTACTTTTGGAGCGTCATGATCATTTCAGTGCGTTTTGGGGCACTCGGGCGACGCCGGTGTTATTTGTGGCCGCCACGCCGTGGAGTGAGGCCGTTGTGCGGCGTATAGAGGCATTGAGCTCCGCAAAGAATGCCACCGCCACTATCATCATCACATCACCTATGAAAACAACAAAAACAACAATAACAGGAGGAGGAGTAGGAAGAGTAGAAAGGGATAAAGTATGTATGGATCCACCGGAAATGGAGCCATTGGAGACAATGGCATCGAATTCATCTAGTATTTGTACAACCCCAAACTTTCGATATAGGGTTCCAGAGCCTGAGGAGGATTGTTATTGTTTAAATAGTGATAGTTGTAGCTATGATGATGATTATGGTAGTAACTCAGGGGATATAGGGAGAGAAACTCAACACATCTCCATTAGGGAGAGAGCCGTTGTGGTGTTGTATAGTCTCTTGAAATTACTTCGTAGTCTTTTTTCAGTATTTGGGAGTAGACGACAAACGTCTTGTGATGAGATGGAAACATTAGAAGTATCCACATGTGGAGTTGGGAATTCATCCATGTTAATGATGGGATATTCTCACTTTCTACAAGGTGTCTTTGCAGAAGGAGTACCTTTTGTAGATCATTCTCTATTAAAGAATGTATCTCTGGAGGAGTGGGATTCACTAGACTCCTACACTTCTCATGGGAAGAGAGAAAGAGAATGGGAACATCTACATTATTCTCAGTGGTATAAAGGGAAGAGTGGGGTACTCTCTTGTTGGTTTCGAAATAATATAAATAAGGAACAATTTATATGCGTTCCTTATAAACCGCTGCTACGCAGAGAAGGTTCATCCTATTCTCTTTGGAGTAACAAGAAAACTTATAAAATAAATAATAATAATAATAATAATAATAATAATAATAATAATAATAATAATACTTATTATTATAATAATGGTGGTGGTATTACTGGTAGTATGAGTGGAAATGGGAAAATATATTATGGAAAAAATAATCAAAGAAAAGGTTTTATTCCTCCTTTGTATGCCGTACATGCAAAGGCACAACTTCTTTTATCTTTCCTTGATCCACTCTGGCGTATTATTACAGAAATGTTTACCTTTGCAGACAATAGTGATGAAATCGAGTCTCACGTACATCCTCCACGTAGTCTTATGGATAATACAGATGAGGATCAAGATAATAATAAGAATAGTGGTGGTAATAATAAGAAGAAGAAAGAGAGTATGTTTGCTGTACGTAAACAACAGAAAACGTTGGGTTTATTGAGTCCAGAGTGTTGTTATGCGTTTGGGAAATACCGAGAGGAAGATGATAACTCTATTCATTCTCCACTGGAAGAGGTTTGTTTCTTTCCAGCTGAGGCAACCAAGGCGTTATTAGGCTCTTTATTCTCAAGTGAGCAACATCAGGAAAAAGAAGAGACACAGGATCATGAAGGAAGTAAATCCGAAGGTGAAAAGAAACAGGAACAAATACCGTATGTATTAGCTACTAGTAATAATAATAATAATAATAATAATACTAATAATAATAATAATAATAATACTAATAAATCTTTAAAAGAAACTCTGAAAGCAGAGAGTAGTGGCACAGAGGAACCCTCACACATATTTACATGTGGACATCGTGTAACGAGTGTACGTTGGCTGAATGGATCCGCCCCACCAGACGGACCAAACATCATCACACCTGTTGTTATTTTATTATTATGTCCATCTATTGTGCAGGGAGGTGAACATGGATATGTGGCCAGGCGTATGGGAGCTCTCTGTGCATCTCTTACAAAGATGGCGGAATTAAGACGAGAAACTCATAAAATAGACACTTATGGGAATCTTCATTTAAATGCTATGAGTTACAATGATCATGGTAATAGTAGTATTAATAATATGAGTCTCGATAGTAGTAGGAGTAGGAGTAATAGTAGTAATAATAATAATAGTGAAGAAGGTGATAGCCCTGATGTTAATAAGAATCAAACCCATCATCATCATCATCATCATCATTTCTTCTCTACATCGTCTATAAATGATGAAATGAATGATGTACGGTTTGCCACTTGGCATGCTGCTGTTCCTCTTGCTGAAGTCCTCTGCTGTTCAACCGATACATCTCTCTCCTCTATATCTACATCTCAACGTGAACGTGTGCCCTTAACAGTGGAGGATATTGATCACATTACCCGTTATTTGGGAAAACTACGGAGTGTGACTGTAGTGGAGTCTACTACGGATCTAACATCAACTGCCTCTACACCTCCTCCTGGAAAATATCGTACACAACAACGAAAACAACAACAACAACAACAGCAACAAGAAAAAGAAGAAAAAGAAAAAAAAGAAAAGGGATTTCATGAGGGAAAAACAAAAAGAACACTTCGTAGAAAAGTATATATTGTTGGTGTGGGTTGGTCCAATGCCAGTGGACCATTACTGCAGTATATTATGTCCTACGGGGCCCAATCACGTATGGATGGGGTTGTTTGTATGAATCACACCTTCTCATCTAATTACACCCTTACACCTGAAAGTGAATCCCACAGTAATTATAATAATACTAATTATAATAATAATAATAATAATAATAATAATAATAATAATAATAATAATAATAAACAGGGAATTGACTATGAAAAGGTTGTGGGTGTTCGAGCGTATAAAATGCCATTTCATAGAACTTTTCTTTCAGCTCCTGGTGGTGCCGTACGTCTTATTTTACTTGCGGCTCGATTACAAATGGTAGCGAATCATCTTCGTCGTCGTCGACATCGACGGCAATGGCAACAACAACAACAACAACAACAACAACATCAACAAAAACAAAAGGGAAAAATTATTTCAGATGAAGATAGTGATATGGCTCTTTGGCAGTATATAAGACATCAAGTGAGTTCAACTGTTTCCTCTGTAGTGGATGGATCTTCGCAAGAAATTCGCAATCGCCTTCTCACCAAAGTACTGAAGGAATCTTCTTCTTCTTCTTCACCGCCAGCAGCACCAGTAACCCCAACGTCTATGGAAACACCAGTGGAAGCATTATTAGATGCGGGGAAATATGTAGAGCGGGTAGTGAATGAGTGGTGGTTAGATGAAGTCCAACCAGATAATAACAATAACACAAATACTAATAACAATACTACTACTACTACTACTACTACTACTAATAATAATAATAATAATAATAATAATAATAATAATAATAATCCTGGTTACGACGAAACCAATACAGTTCCTGATATAACGGTCTCTAGTGGTAGATGGCATCCTGTGATGAGTGTAGCGGATTGGGATACACTTTTACAACGTGGAGATGAAGTACCGGCCGCCACATTATTAGCAGCGAGTCTCTCACGATTACAAGTCTCACCACCACCACCATCTCCACATACACCCAATCTATTATTATTATCATCATCATCCGCAGAATCTCCACAGATATCCCAATGGAAAAGAGATGGGAAACGAAAACATAATATAATGCATAAAGGCCCAAGTGAACATATTGATCATAATTATATTGTCCCACAGGTATCATTAGAACGTCAACTTTCATCACTATTTGATATGGCACGCGGTAGAGTAGAAAGTGTCTCTTCTTCACAAACAACACATCCCCAAGAGTCCATTAACTGTGGAAACAATAAACACATCAACAACAACAACAACAAGAAGAAGAAGAATGCCAAACGAGTTTTAGAGAAGCAAAGATATGGAGTAAAACGCCATAAACATTCTCATAGATATATCTCAGCAGATCCTACAATGATGGCTCTTCGAGAAAACACCTCCAGTAGTGCACATCTTATTTCCCTTGTTCGTGTCCCAACGCTCTTTGTTCACGCAAAAGATGATGAGATAGCGCCATTGGGTTCTCTCCCATTACGTGTGCTTACAACAAATCCAAAGATCTTTACTGTAATTACTCGCCGTGGTGGATATGGTGTATTTCTGGAGGGTCTCTCCACACTATTCACATTGCCACGACTCTCACTACAGGAGAGACCCCGGCGAAAAGAAAGTAACCGATTGAATACTCATAATAATAATAATAATAATAATAATAATAATACTCATAATAATAATAATAGCACATATAGGGATGATCGTTTCTCTGTAGAGAGTAAGATAAGAAAACAACAACAACAAACGCATTCATGGTGGTCTAATTGGATGCAGCGTGAAAACAGTACGGAAACACATCTCTCAAAAAACACCTCATCTAAGAAAAAAGGTGATAAAGATTATTTGGAAACTGTTTTTGTTATTGAAGGTACAACGTGGATGGAACGACTTCTTGTGGAGTTTATTGCAAGCGCTATTCTCACCCAATCGCCTTGTTGTGAAAGAGCAGCAGCAGCAGCGGCATCACCAGTACAACAACAACCATCATGTGTCTCTGTGAGTTCATTGGATTTGAATTTAAAGTAGAGAAAACACCCCCGAGAGGTTGGGGATGTGCATACACGCCCAAAGTAAACGTATTTCGTCCTTTTATTATTATTATTATTATTATTATTATTATT